CCTGCGGCCGCCTCCCGCGCCGCCCGCGCCTGCTGCAGCCCGAGGACCTGCGGCACGTGCTGGTGGACGACGCGCACGGCCTGCTCTACTGCGTCGTGCGCTACGACGTTGTGGGCAAGTGTGAGACGCTAGCGGAGGACGCCGCCTTCGTGCGAGCTTGGTGGGCGAGCCAAGTTCTCTGTTCTGCTCTTCCAGGATCTCAGCCGTTTCTGCCAGCGAGGCCTCTTAAAACTCTACAGGGTGCACTTTATGCTTTTCTGTACAAGATGATCTTGCAGCTCATCAATGGGTGATGTTCAGAGATTGAATTACAAAAAGTCGCTTAGGATAAATTTAAGTGTTATTGTGCTTTTCCTGCTTTCATTGCCAGGAAAATGCCCCATCCCCACCCCCACGCGTTAGTGTGAGATGATTTCTTTTTTTGTTTTGTTTTCAGTTCTGCTTTATGGCTTTGTCATGTAGGCAGCTTTCTGGAAGGTTAATTTCCACGGTTTAGAAGTTGCCTGAAGCACATCCTCCGTGCCTTGCTAAGGGCAGTATTTTGTGCATTTTTCAGTTTGTGAATCACGACTGACTGATGTTAGGTGCAGGAGCTTAGCAACTGCCCAGGTGAGGGCAAGGCCGGGCAAGGAGGGCTGGTGGAAGAGTTGCACCATGGGTCACAGGCTTCTTCTCTCTTGTTGCTCTTCCACCGTCTCTTCCATGTAGCCTATGATAGGGAGCCCACTCACTTGTCAGGCATGAGAATACTGAAGGGAAACAGTACAAATGATTGTGCTTTCCATTTCCAGTCCGGCCCGCTGGCCAGAGCCTAACCCTCCTGCCGTGCCTATCAGCAGGGAAGGCTGGGAGCACTAGTCTTAACCCTCATGCACACCCCTTGACCTTGTAATTGTGGGAAGGGTACCCTGCACCTGCCACCTTCTGAGGGCTGCTGTTGACCACCAGGCCTCTGAGTCTGAGCACCGGGGAGCCGGGCCTGCAGGGAGTTAGGACCGCCCAGGAACATGCCTCCCCATGTCTGATGGAAGGTGAGGGATCCACACTAATGTGCTTCTTCATTTCTGTGTGATCATGCATGTTTCACTGTATGCAGGCAAATGAGGATCCAGATGGCATCACTTGGATGCTGGGCAAACATGCCCGTGTTGCTGTTTGGGATGCTGTGTGATCATTCTCACTGTTTATGGAATAATTTTGCATGCAGAATATTGCTAAATCATCATCTGGGTTTTTTGATTTGTTTGTTTTTTGGTACCGGAAATCGAACTCAGGACTTCACATTTGTCCGGCAGGCCCTGCATCGCTGAGGTATATCTCCAGCCCAAAACCATCATCTGTTGTTAAATGGTTAGATTGTTTCCCATTTCTCTGTATGGCATTTTGTAATGGACAGCTTCCTGAAGGTCTGTTTTTTTCTTTGAGGGTATTATGTGCATATAAATATTCAGCAGAAGGGGGTAGGTAAATTTTTCCATTCCCTTTATTTTCATTTAAAATAAATACCCGACAGAAGAATTACTAACCTAAAGACGATGAACATTTTTATGGCTGTCTCTGGATTTGGTTAACTGGTGTGGACCTCGTCTGCAAACCAATTTTGGCCCCACATTCTGAAGAAAACTTTCTCAAGGCAATATGTAGTTAAGATGCAGATCATTCTGGTTTCAGCCCAAAGAGAACATCAGAGTACTCTGATATTCTCTGCTTCTGTAGGTTTGAGGACTTTTGCTAGAAACTACACTGTACCACCTGAGTGGCCTTGCGTAGTCCCTTTGGCCTGTTCCCTACCCAGGTGGGATATTCTGGGGCCTGTGTACTGTAGTGGCACACAGTAGCTGTCCTCCATGTCTTTCCCCAGGTACTGCAATAGAACTAACTCCAGAACCTTCCTTCTGCAGGTGGGGATGGGACTCTCCCCACCCATTTCAGCCCTCCAATTACAAGGGTCCTCTATCTACCTTCTTTTGGGGGCAATAGGCCGCTGGCTCACTCTGATAACTGTGGTCCATATGTCCTTCCTTTAGGAAGAGGACTACAAGTAGTGCCCCCACCCTGATTTTATGTACCCTCGCAAGGACTCCAGGGTGACTTTCTGGCCCTTCTTTTTGTATGATAGAGCAAAGGGGAAGGACCCTTTAAATCTTCAGCAGACATCTTGAGACATAGTCCTGCTATTATGCATATCAAAAGGAGTGTACCAATCCCTAACTTGTCACAAGCTATTGCAGTATATGCTATTCTCATTAATTTATAATTTAGGAACAATATGGTATGAAGTTCACATATGAAATTGTAGAAAAAAGTATGCCTTCTTCTGCATTCTGACCCCATATTCTCCATTTCTTCTTCCCAAAAGTAGTGATTACACCTGTTTCTCACAGAACACATGTATACACACACACACACACACACACACACACACACACACAATTTTTAAATATACCCGAGAGGTAGCTTGTAAGATACTTCCGGTGTGCTTTAAAAATATCTTCATATACCTTGTAGATCATTCCAGATCTATATGTAAAGAATTATTCCTTTATTTTAATGAGTGTTCTAGTAGTTCAGGTGTAGATGTGAAAACAATTCCCTACTAGTAGGTACTTGGGTGGTTTTCAGTCTTCTAGTTCATGTTACAAGAATAACTAGCATTGTCCCAATATCTAGACTTACATGTGTGTTTGAATAAACCCTAGAAGTGATAGTCTCACTCTTCATAGTGCTCACATCAATTCTGCAAAATTCAACATTTTACATTTATTTTACAGATGAAAAACGTAGAGGCTCACAGAGGTAAAGTGACCAGTGCAAAGGGAAACATGATTTGAAAATGCAGTTTATTAGTATGATGTGGTTTTATAGGGAGGTGGAAAGCTCCTGGTTTCCTGTGGCTACAGAGGCTGTTCCCCTCACTAAAGTCTTGGTGGGTGCTCCAAGAGCATGCTGAGGAGAAGACAATGGACAGAGGCCACACAGAGTAGGGTTCCAGGACAGGGCCCTGGATGACTCTCTCACCTCACTGGTCTGGTTTAGAAGTGGTCTGCATCGACGTGGGGAGGGAGTTCTTCTTAGTCAACTTGTCTGGGGAAGCGGAGGCTTAGTAATTTGAGTTCCCAAAGGTAGTATGGTGGGGGCCGCAAGGCTGATGGGTGGAAGTAGGATGGCGATGTAAAGTCTGGAGCTCCAAGCCTAGAGAAACCACACAGAGCCACACTGGACCCGCAGGAACCGTGCTGGCTGCAGCCAGATGGTCCAGAGAAGGAGAACGGGGCCATATGTGGGAGGACTCCGGCCTCGTCCTCTCCCGGCCAGACTTGTCTCAGCTCCTCCCACAGAACAACTCTGAAGCCCAGTAGCATCCCAGAAAGCCCAGGGAATGTGGCTACCCTTTCCACACTGGCTTCTCCAGCCATCAACATCCAGGCCAGAACCCCGCAGATTCCTAATGTTTCTGTGCCCCTGACTGGCACAGGACTGGTTCCCAAGACCTCCCCATCCACTAGGTGAGCTTTGTTTCATGGCTTGAGGGTTGGGTGGGCACTCTCTAAGTCATGCTAAGAGATCTTCCTATCAGGGACTGCCTCCTGCCATCTTCCTCTCCCAGCTTTCCACTGAATCCTCCATCTTTCCTCCCCACCTGAGACCACTTTTTCCATCCTTGGTAGTGCCTACACAGACCTCTCTAGGTCATCTTTTGTATCAGCTAAACACAGATAAACGTTGGTAGTTAGCACCCTGGGTGAACCACCCCCTGCCTACATGTTAGCCATCCCGGAAAGCAACCTTTCAAATTTAGATAGGTCTTTACTGTCTTAGTCATCAGTGTACTTGCACATGAAACCTGCCCACTGTGAGCATCTCCTTCTCAAGGTCCCTGATTCTTCTCTCCACCCCCATCCACTTGCTACCTGGTTTTCTACCTGCTCTGGGCCCTGGGAGGCTGACCTGTATGGGTTAGGTACCTAATAGGAGGTGCTGGTAGAAGTTCAGAGCTGGAGAACAGTATGGGGGTCTCTCTTTCTCTCTCTCTGTCTCTCTCTCTCTCTCTGTCTCTCTCTCTCTCTCTCCCCCTCTCTCTCACTTGAACCCTGCTAATCTATTGCTGTCTAGCAGGGGATGAGTAGTCCCAGAGCCTCCCTAGTCCCTATGTCTGAACCCACCCCTCCAGCCTTGGAGAGGTACCAGCCTTCCATAGTAGTTGCACCCTGGGTGCTGCCCCCTCCTTAGCTATTTCTCTTTGCCTAATCTCCTGCACTTCCTGGCACATTTGCCAGCTGCTTCATTTGGCTCTCTGCCCTGAGGCTGTCCTCTTGAAGGACTTTCCCCACACCCTGACCTCCTTGCGGAGGATGAGAGTCCACAACATCCTTACACTGGAGCTAGGGAGCTTGGCTACTCCCCTTGGCCAGGGTTTGACCAGGCATGGCTCTGGGTCTGTGAGGTCAGCCTCTGCCTTACCCTCCTCCCTCCGTTCTCACACACCTGTTTTATGCCCCTACAGAAGGGACCTTTGAGCTCTCCGACCCCAGAGCCTCAGCAGCTCAACCCCTGCCAGTTTGCTTTGGAGATGCAGAATAGAAGCCTGGAGATCTGAGGCTCCCATAGCCAGATAAGGTGGGGGCGATGAGGCCTGAGGGCAGAAGCCAGGGCTGCTCATGGGTGTGGGTCTGTATTTCTCTGTGCTTGCCTGTGTGTGCATATTGTTTGTTTGGGTGTTTATTCAGGGGAGCAGGTGTGCATCTTGGTGACTTGACCCCACATTCTTATCCTGGTGAGACTTCCTCTGGTCACAGCTGATACACAGGGGCTAGATGACGGCCAAATGGAGCAGATTCTGTTCTTTGCTGTGAGGGTCCTGCAGTGCCCAGAGCTGAGCTGGCGGGACAGGGCTGGGGTGTGTGAAAGTCCCTCTATCAACTGGCCCTGGAGTCTCTGTTGTTTTCTGTGTCTGTGTAGGAGACAGCATGTGCGTGCATGAGTCTGTTTTCTTTGGGTAGCTCTTTGCCGGGCATTAGTGTTTCCATGTATGAAGCCCTTATGTGTGATTGTGGATGCATGTGTTGTGTGTCTGTGATCATGGCGGGTGCCCAGTGCAAGAACTCACCCTGGGACTGGGATGGATCTTGTCGGCACTAAATTCTTCTGCAGGGGCAGCTGGTCCCTCAGTGATTTGTTCTTCACTTCCCAGGGTTGTAGAGACTCAGTCCTGGGCTCTGTCATCCAGGAGAACCTACAACAGGTCCTTCATTGTTGAGGTGGCCCATAGCTGCCACCACCTAAAGGAGCTCTCACTCACTTAGAGCTTTCTATTTCTATGAGTGCTTCGTAAATACTAATCACATGGCTCCTGACACCTATCCAGAGATCCTTCAGCTTAGGCTATGATGGGGCAGTGGACGAAGAAGGCAGATCCCTGACTGTCCGCACAGACCTCCCCATGGATAAATGACTCCCTCCCAACTCTATCTTCTCATTCTGTGTTCTGGGGATTTTGAGGTGATCAGAGGCAGTGGAGCTTCATTCTAGGGTTCTGGACAGCTTGTACCTGTATGGAAAATTCTTGGCAAATTTCTCCTGGGCCTTTACGCTATGTTTTCTATGCTTTTGAGGTTTCTTTTGAGCTTCCAGCTCCATCACTGAAGGAGTTAGTCTGTGGCCCTCTCAGCCATTATCTGGAAGACAAGAGGAGGCCACCAGGGTAGGAGCAGTGGTGGGAGGTGGCATGTGGTGTCTGCCAACCTCTGTACATAGCCTCATTTCATTTTCTCCATTGATAGAGAGCACATTATGTCATCCCAGTTTTTCGGGGAAGGGAAGAAAGGTTCCAGAGGGTCAATTATTTTGCCTGTGTACTAGTTAAACAAAAAAGTAGGTGAGCAGGTGAGATTCAGAATAGGAACTCTGTGCTCCTACTGCCAGGCCATCTGGCCTCAGACAGTCCTGGATGTCCACAGAAGCAGCACTGACACAGGATCCCAGGCCTCCTGATGGTCACCCTGTACATACCCTCCCAACTCCCTGAGTCATGGAGATGGCCCTAAAATAACTTGGCTGATCCACTTTTTCCAGGGGTAGGGACCACTGTAGAACCTCATGACCACCCATCTCAGCTCATCTCTACCACCATCCTCTGACTGCTACCCAAACTGTCTTGGAGCTGTCCTTCTCAGCCATGTGGGCTTCTGGAGCTCACTGGGCAAACTGTCTTGCCCAAATCCTGGCTGTGACCATGTTTAAAGCTTAGGTCAGAAAGCCTTGGAGCTGCTCTGGCCCAGTAGGGTGCAAATGGAAGAGATGTTGTGGCCCCCGCAAGACTGAAGTTCCCTGACTACACTGCTGTCTTAGAAGGCTTAGTCAGATGAGGAGGCCCAGCCCAGGGTGAGCTATAATCCTCCAGTGTAAAAGAGGACAGTGAACAAACCGTCAGAGCTGCAGGCCACTGTGTGCTTGCTTAAGTGACCCCATAGGGACTGATGCTGGCCATTGTATTAGCTGTCACCCCACCGAAGGAGCTAGTCACGTGACATTGGCTAGTAGAGGTTCAGAATCCTCTGAGGTCACAATTAGTGACACAGCAGTTACTGGTCCCTGTTGCTCAGATTCCAGCCTGAGGCCCCTGGGCCAGAGAGTAGCTGTAAAGGCAGCAACAACCGGGCCAAGGCTGTTTGGCACTTTGGCTTTACTGACCCAAACAGGAACGTGCACATCTTCCCATGTCATACCCCAGATCTTGTTCTGTTAGGGTTGTGGAGACAGAAGAGGTAGACTAGAAATAGCTAAACTCTCACTGTGGCTGCAGAGAGGATCCTTTTCTGGCTGACCTTTACCTGAGTCCTAGCCATAAATGTGGGAGTTATTAGGCTGAGGTTTTGGCCCTAGAGCCTGGGCTTTGCAGCCTGAATTCTTAACTCCCAGTCTGGGCCCTTTTTTTTTTTTTTTTTTTTGGTTTTTCTCCGGTACCGGGAACCGAACTCACGACCTTGCGCTTGCCAGGCAGGCGCTTTTGCCGCTGAGCTAAATCCCCAGCCCCTCTGGGCCCTTTTCAGGGCATAGAGAAGCAGTGTCCGTCTGTGCCTCAGGGTCTGTCTGTAAGACGATACTGTGAGTCCAGCCTCAAAGGCGGGTGGAGGCATCAACTGTGGTCCATTTTGTCACATGCTTAGAACACTCCTGATTCCACAAGAAGGCCTGGTGAAGCTAAGAATCTGCTGTTCACAGAGCCTCCGGCTTAAGACTGACTGTCACAATCTGCTGCTTACTTAAGTGACAGAGTGTTGCACCACTGTCTCAGAGGCATAGAGCTAGGAGGAAAGGAAAGGAGGGAACGATGTCCCTTTCCTAGGACCTTGGGTGCACACACAAGGAAGAAAGCACCTGTGTTAGGTTAATGTCTCTAGAAACCTCAACCCAGATGGGAACGTCAGTGCAAGTGGTTTTCTGAGTGGGAACCCTTAGCAGAAGGGGCTGGAGGAACAGGGTAGGGTAGGAGCAGGCTGAGCAAGGTTGGGTCTCTGCTGGAGACTAGCTTCAGCCTGTCCCAGGCACTCTGGAGCAGGAACTGTTCCTGCTTGAGTAGGGTGGGTCAATATTTTCTTCCCTGGCAATCAATTTTCGGGGAGGAATCTGTAGGGTTGGGGTTACTGGCTGGAGCGGCTGTGAGGTGTTGACATCACACAGTAGCTTGGACCCAGTGCACCCGCTCCATATTGGCGGGGAGTTGCTCTCCTACCTATTGATAAGGAGTAGAAACAAATTGAGAAGGAGGCATAAGTGAACTGGGGAGAGGCCCGGAGAAGCAACCAATGCTCTCAGGAGACTCCCAGGAGACTTCACAGGGAGTAAAATGGGATGTTTCAGGTGGCCTGACCAACACTGTGCAGGAACTTGAATTCCAAGCAGTCTTCCCAAATCCTTCAGCCATAATGTATGTTTTCCCTCATTTTTTTTTCTGGGCCTAGGACTCTGCCAGCTTTGTAGAAAATGACTTGAAGTGAACAGCAGGGAAAGCTGTCTGGCACCATCGATTCTGACTGCCAAAGAGTGCTGGGAGTTTCTGCATCCGATGGTGGCTTCTCTGAATTTTTACGGTGGTGCAGGCTGGGGAAAGGCTGGACTCGCAGTAAGTGCGGAGAACTGGGTAGAACACTCCCTCTGCCAGACTTGCTGAGTGTCCCTGGGCAAAGTTACCCTCTTTGGACCTTCATTTTCTTGTCACAAATGGGAAGAGATAGTCCATTAGCCAAGAGACTAGAGAACTTTCCAAGGGGTCTTTGCATGACATTGGCCTGATGCTGGCAGGGCATGAGCTATAATCAAATAAGCGGCAGACCTGTGGGGCCAGCTGCGGCTCAGTCTTCTTTGCTTTTTATGCATCTTTTCCTTTTTTTCCAGCCTGATTACAGAGCACTAAAGAGCTGAAAGGAGACCTCTGGGGCAAGAGCACAGTGGGGTCAGATGAGAATAATCCTACTAACACAAGAGCATAAATAAGCAAGATGTGAGAATATGCAAAATGTTTGAGGACAAAAGATACAGGCTAAATTGCATATGGAGGTAACACTTCATAATGAGAAATGAGACAGTATAGAAGTTTACAGGCATTCGACACAAAGAAAGATGTTCCTAGATCTTTCTAGTAAGCTTCAGACCTACATAACTAACTGCATTGGTCAGGTGTTTCCTATGATGCAGCCCTGAGGATAAGCACTGTGTTTTGGGTGCTGAAAGCCCGCTGTGGACAAGTCATTCCCTACATTTTTCCCTCAGAAATGTTGTGGTTACCTTGCTGACTCCTCTCAGTGTTATCACCTCCAGCAGCTTCAGTATTAAACAGTTACCACTGACTTTTCATTTTAAACACATAGTTGTGGAGAAAAGGTACGGTTTGAAATCTTAGTTGGTACAATAAAAACAAGGCCTTTGAGTGAAGTTTTTAAACAGTGAAATTCCAGACAGGGTAAATGATGGTAGTTTTCTGGATGGGGGCTTTGGATGCTTTCCATACTAGGGAGACACCATCAACTTTGTTTTTCCTCCAGAGAGCTTTGGCTACTCACTGTGCTCTGTGCTTACCTATGGATTTCAGCTTTTTTTCTTTTCTTTTTTCTATTTCTGCAAACAACACCACAGTATGGACATTTTAACAGTATTAATCCTTCTAAGCCACGAACGTGAGATCTCTCTCCACTATTTGAATCTGCTTCGATATCTTTAATCATTAGAATTTTCAGAGTATAAGTCTTGACTTCCCTGCTTACATTTATTCCCAAGCATCTGACTCTTTTTAGTGCTAGTGTGAAGCGCACTGTTTTCTTTTCATGCAGTTAGCAGTACTTATAAATAAACAAGACAAGTTTCTTGGTACCTTTCGTGTTCTGCTTAGTTCATGTAATAACCATGAAAAGATTTTTTGTGGCCTCTTTAGTGTTTGTACATGTATGATCATGGCATCCACAAAACGGACAGTACTTCTTTCCTCCAGTTTGGATGCCTTTTATTTCTCCTTGCCTCCTTGCTCTAACAAGAACCTCCAGTGCTTTGTTGACTAGAAATGGTGAGGGCATCTTCACCTCACTCCTGATCTTTGATAAAAACATTACAATTATTAGCCAGTGATTATGATGTTGACTGTGGATTTGCAGTGTGGGCCATTAGCATGCTTAGGTAATTTCTTCCTAAACCTACTTAATTGACTTTTTTTTTAGTGAAATAGCCTTCAGAATTTTCAGATGCTTCCTTTGCATCTGTTGAAATGATCATGTAACTTCAGTTTTTCATTCAGTAATGTTGTGTCTCATAATAATTGATTTGCATATGCTGGACCACGTATTCTTTACTCGGGTGAGGTGAAATTTTGATTTGCCTTTCCCTGATGGCTAAGTTGTTGAACATTTAAAAATATAATTATTGTCCATTTGTACTTATGTAAGAAGTATCTGTTCAATTCAGTTGTCAATTTATTGATTATTCTTTCGGAATTATATTTTTTGAGTTCTTTATGTATTCTGGATATTGATCCTCTGTCTGAAGAGTAACTAAAAATAAATTTTCCTGTACCGTGTCTCCATTCTGCTGTTTCCTTTGCTGTGCAGTGTATTTTTAATTTCATGGAATACCATTATTGATTCATGCTATTATTTCTTGAATTATTAGCGCCATATTGAGTAAGTCATTTATTTTGAAGTGTTTTCTCTCTTTTTTTTTCTAGGATTTTCAGAGTTTCACGGAATTTAGATAGGTCTTTGATACATTTTGAATTATTTACAAATAGTTATTGTATCTTAAAAAGTTTAATAAACTTAGTCATGAAGTCATCTGGCGCCTCTCTTTTTTTCAGTGTGGGGGATTGAATTTAGGACCTCATGCATACTAGGTAAGCCTTCTGCCAGAGTCTCTACCCAGCCCCCTACATTTTTTGAGGGGGTGGTGGTCTTGGGATATTTTGGGTTATTTGTTCAGTCTTCGCTTAAATTATTGCACTATTCAAGTTTTTATTTCTTCATGCTTTAGCCTTTCTAGATTGTATATGTCTAGTTATTTATCCATTTCTTCCTGATTATTCTTTTTTTTTTTTTGGTTGTAATTGCTGATAGTCTTTCATGATTCCAGTGTTATCAGTTGTAGTGACTCCTCTTTCATTTCTGGTTTTGTCTACTATTTTGTTTTCTTAATCATTGTATGTAAGAGATTGTCAGTTTGTTTACCTCACCAAAAAATGATCTCTTGGCCGGGGCTATAGCTCAGCAGCACAAGTGCCTGATTGGCAAACACAAGGTCCTGAGTTTGATTCCCAGTACCAAAAAAAAAAAAAATGATCTCTTGGTTTGATTGATTTTTACTAATGTCTTGCTATATGGTTTTTTGTTATTTTTACTGTGATGTTTACTATTTTCTTTGCTATGCTGATTTAGGGTCTGATTTGTTATTTTTGTAGTTCCTTGAAAGATTAAGGTAGTTTATTTAATTTCCTTTCCATTTTCAATAGAGAAATATATTTTTATAAACCTGTCTTTTATAACTCTTCTTGATGCATCCCATTTTAGTATATATGTACTTTTATTTATATTTTTCAAGAAATTTTCTTACTTTGCTTTTGATTTTTCATTCTGTTGTGCTCATAGATACTTGATATAATTTCAGTTTTCTTTTTTTTTTTTTTTTTTTTTTTTGGTTTTT